AGTCAAAAATATGTAAGGATATGTAGAATAGCCTTACATGAGGAAGATTCTCTTCTTTACCAGCACACTCAATACACTGACTAGGGTAATCAGTAATCAAGCATTGAGAAGGGGAAAAGAATCCTCTAACCCTTAGTCTGAAGACTCTTTATATATGCAGTTACACATGTAGTGGATACAAGTAGGCTAACTAATAATGAAAAAAACACCTACAAGCACCCACAACACCTTCATAGCAAGGAGCACACTTGCACACACTCAGCACAAGAGTGCAATCGTTACACCCTCAGACAGTATGTAAAAAGGCTATTGATGAATCAGCACTGTTTATTTGTAGAGACCATGTAAACATTTTAGACATACATTAGACAGACTTGAGGAAGTATATGTAACTCTGTCTACTAACAGTGATCCACTACATGACTCTACATACAAAGCAGCAATATTGCTTGCCACTCCTGAGCAATATACACACATAGTAAATACAATAATACAATCTACTGATGCCTAAAACAAAGGCAAACCAGTTGATGAACATAAGAAAGTTGAACTGAAGCAACTAATCCTTGTATTATAGAATGCCTACAACAATTACTGTACTAAACAAGCACAAGATTCCAATGATTGGACAAAGAATAATGCACACATTAATACAATGTATAAAGCTAATAAGCAGAGGAAATTCAATCTGCCAAATCTGTTCAATCTGACAAAAGTGAAATGTTTCAATTGTAGAAAAACAGGACATTTCTCTAAGGAATGCTGTAAACCTCCTACTGAAGCTACAAAGCTTGCACACATTAAACATCAGGCTAACATTGTACATAAAATGAATCAAACTGTAGAAAACACAACAAACACATTTATTATTGAAAACCCAAACAAAAACAATGTTGAATTAAAGGAAAGCAATGTTGAAATGAACAATAATGCCTACACTCTTATTCTGAGCAACCAGGACAAACAATTCGAACAATACGTTTCCTGGGTATGTACTAACGTATTTACAAATACAATCATAGCTAACAAGAAATCCTATACACAAACAATGGATTTACTCAATTCTAGTGTATTAATACATACTACTCCTTATCTATTTCAATTAATGGATGTACACAACATAACTCCTACAATTGTAACTATTACAAATAGGTCAACAATGACTCTTAATTGAGCTGGATCTATGTGTATTGAAATCCCAAAGAATATACAAGAAAGAAGCATCATAACATTACAAAACATCTATTACTATTCACAAATGAACTTTTCCCTCATAAGTCAAGCACTACTATGTAGGGAAGGTTATTCTTTTATGTTTACAAACAATAATTGTACTATAACATCACCATGTAACAAATACATCAGACACATATGATTGAGAAATAACTTGTATATTTTGTACAATAATCATTTATTAAAAACAATGAACAAACTATCTATTTATGATATACATAAATGCCTCAGACATATAAGTTACAATTATATTAAACAATTATTAAAGACACAACCAAGTGTACTATCAACTAAAATAACAAACTACAAAGAAAAAGAATGTATTGAATGTATAAAAGCAAATATTGAATGTACACCAATACCAAAACTATGTCAATCTCCTCTTACAAATCAATTTAGAGATCTTATTCATATCAATATTATTGGTCCTATTAAACTGTACACATATAAGAACATATACTACTTATTAACAATTGTAGACAATTCTACTTGTTGGTGCATAATGCTCAAATTACAAACAAAATCCAATGTATATACATAATACATACAATGGACAACTAAAATATTTACACAGCACAGAGTTAAAATAAAGCTTTTACAAAGTGATAACAATACTGTATTCCTTAGTGAAGATTTCCAACAATATTTAGATTCACAAGGAACAAAACAAAGATTAACAGTACATCATACTCTGTAACAGAACAGAATAGTGGAACAAACTCATAAAACTATATTTAGAGGTGTAAGAGCATATCTAACATCTACTGAATTACTATTTACATTATGGGCCAAAGTAGTAATTCATATTACTTATATTCATAATAGAACACTGTGTGCTGCTTTAAATTACAATACCCTACATTACAAACGTTACAGAACACACAGAACAATTGATAATATATATGAATTTGGTTAATATATTATCATTTGCAATGAAAATCCTACAAAAATACAACAGTAAGGTATCATTGCTTGTTGGATAGGATTAGACAATGAAAGTAAAGGCCATAAAACTTGACACAATAATAAAATTACTATCAAACAAAATATTCAATTTCCCAAAGGTAAACCTCCTCAAATTGAAGGGGAGAAAATAGACAATACAAACAACAATACAAACGAGTGTTTAATAATTAAAAATAACAAAACAGACAATAGAATAACAAGAACAGACAATAATGATACAGACAACACTGATCCTAACAAAAAAGGAAAAGCAGTAGAACCAACAGACTTAACAGACAACAAAGTTAAATTAACTGAAAAAGAAGTAGAACCTAAACTACATTGATTGGAACAGAAACAGAAACTAACAGAACATACTATTGAGCTTGAACAACACATGGAGAATAAATGTGTAACAAAACACATGTATACACTTAGCAAAAAGGATGAAGATAATATTGCTATTCATTTAACAGAATTTAATGCTAAAATAAGTGAAATACAATTGGATCCAACTTCATTTTATAAAGCAATCCAATGTCTGGATTGTGATTCATGGATTACAGCTATGAAAGACAAAATAAAACAATTAGAAAATCATAATACATGGGAAATCACAAATCCACACAATAATATTAACATCATCAGAACACAATTTGTCTATAAAATAAAGTAATACACTGACAATAGTATAGAAAAATACAAAACACAATTAGTAGTTCAAGGAAACTATCAGATTGACAGTCTTGACTATCATACAGACAATTTATTTGCTTCTACTGTTAGACTATCTACAGTGTAATTAATATTAGTATGGGCAGTATCTAATAATTATGAAATACATTAGATAGATATAAAATCAGTATATCTGTATGGACAATTGATGGAAGACAAAGAAATATATGTTAAACCTCTTCCAGGTAACTTAATAGACAGATTACAGAATGGACAAATATTACAATTACAAAAAGTACTATACAGATTAAAACAAGCTGGTAGAAGATGGTATAAAACACTATCTAATATACTACTTAAATACAGATTAACAAAATCTGAACATGATAACACTATATTCTTTGTAAAGAAGAAAGAAATAACTGTAACCATATTATTTGTACATGTTGACAATATTACTATTGTAGCAATGAATAATAATACTATTGTAATGATAAAACAATCTATTACACATCATTTACAATATACAGACAGTGGTGAATTACACTAGCTACTTAGTATAGAGATTCAACACAACAGAGAGTATAGATTCATCAGGATGTATCAGACACATTATATTAATAGTATAATAGAACATTACAAACTTACAAACAAACAAAGTGTACAAACACCTATACAGCCTGGTACACAATTAAAAACAGTATTACAAACCAATAACAATAGAGAACAAATGTCTGATATACTATACATAAACATGGTTGGTACACTTAGATACATTGCAGACTGTACACAGCCAGATATAGTATTTGCAACAAATCAGTTAGCTAAATACCTCAATGACCCTAGTATGGAGCATTATCTAGCACTTAAACATTGTTACATGTACTTAAAAACTACAAACAATGTCTGGCTCCAACTCAGCAGTACAAATCAATCAATATTGAACAGATATACAGATACAGACAGTATGATGCAAGAAGGGCATTGTACAATATCAGGATATACATTTTACTTGAGCAATTCATTAGTTTTGTGGTCAAGTAAAAGACAAACACTGGTGGCAAATTTAATGTATGAAGCTGAATTAATAGCTCTTGCAAGAGGAACACAAGAAGTGATTACACTTACTCATTTAGCTGAAGAGATTCTGCAGGTCTCTGATGCACCAATTAATATCTATTGTGATAACAATGCTGTTATACAAACAGTTACATTAGACAAACTCAAATATTCGGAACGAACAAAGCATTTAGATTATAAGAAAGATTTTATTAAATGCTACATTGAGTTAGAGTACATAAATGCGAAATACATACAGACGAACGATCAACAAGCAGATATATTAACTAAAGCACTACATGTACTACAAGTCAAACATCTTACCAGTTTACTCGGACTAGTAAGAGTTTGAAGGGGAGTATTATGAGATGATTAGTTCATCAACAGACAAACCACAAGATGATGACTTCATAATGTCTTAGTTAGAATACATACAATATAAGGACGAGAGACACTGAGCGGTCAATCATCACCTCACCCCTTGTCTATGCGTGCCCCCCTTAAGTTTTCCCTCTTAACACATTTTCATCATTTGTTTGTTCTCCACTGAAGTCAGATCTGTTTTGTTCGGCTTGCGTCATTGCAACGATTGCACCAAGGGTAAGGAGTAATAGAGGGTGGCTCGATGATGCTGATCGTGACGCTTGATTGATGATACGATACGAGATAGTAACGCATGTAGATACCCACATTGGGTGCGGACATTAAATTTGAAATTAGACATAGGAAAGCTACACAGCCTTTCCAGTGCCATATACAGAAACTCGGACTCTGGACTTAAGCGAGAAGTTCTTTGGTAAACTAGTCTTCTTTTAAAACAACGTGGAATCCTGCTTTCATTATACAGACTGAGCTACCTGCTCAACAAGGATAGACATTACCCTCTTCGTTGTAATACGCTTCCACGGAGGAGATATCCACGACGCTTCGCACACCTGCCAAGCAGCCAGTTCAAACGAAGACGCATCGTCCAGATCAGCAGGTCGTGATGGCAATTCTCCTTGAAATAATGGCGAACATCACACGCGGGTCACTCTTGAGACGTGCATAAGGTAGTTCCTTTGATAAGATTTCCTAACGCAGATTGATCAATTTCGTAATTCGGAAAACGTTACCGAAAAACATACGTAGACAGTCATGCCGAATGCCCAGACATCTGTCTCCTTCGTGTGGAGAGAATCAAGATTGATATCTAGAAGCTCAATGGCCATCCATCTGACGGATCCCCTCACATCGCTTAGGGTGGTGGCTTCAATGGACAAGGAAGAAGCCAACGTGCGAGACATCCCGAAATCGCAAATAAGAGGTTGACTGGACGGTCCGACTAGTACATTGTCCTTCGGTATAATATGGTAAGAAGAGTAACAAATAAATGAGATGGAAGGAATTCACTGCTTTAAGATCTGAGTGTACAATGTCTTGATCATGCAGGTAATCCATCCCAGCAGCTATCCCCAATATCTGTTCAATAGTTTATCTCAGTGCAAACATTTCGTCGTCGAGATAAATGGCTTACCAGCTTTTCAGGATCAGCAGAAGAGTTATGCTTCAAATACTTTGTAACGGTGCCATTTTCTATCCATTCCGATACCACAGAAGGATAGTCTCCTTCCAAGACGTATCCAAGAAGTGGCAGAATATTTTCATGAGCAAGTTTGGACCACACATAGAGCTCCTTGACGAATAGCTACACAGACCCACAGCATGAATGCAAAGGGTGCTCTGTGAACAGAAATGACGTACTTTCGCAAAATCGCGCTCAGATTGAATGTGCACACGAAGTCGCTTTATCGCGACTTTTACTTGCCTTTTTCTCCGTAAACGAAAGGCGCCCGTATTCGTCGTGGGTAAGCTCGCTTTCCCAACGAAAACATCGCAAAATCCCCCATGTGCTTTCATGACAGCACCATCGTAGCTGATTCGTGATGTCAGGTCAGGATGCGATAAACTCGCGAGGACTGTGTTGAGAGCTTTGGAAGATTTATTATGCTTGTCTTGTAACCGTACTAGCGTTGTGGGTCAACTGCAGACCCGACAGAACGGGCAATATTTGATAAAGCTGTTTGAAGAGTGTGCATTGAGTGAGGAGAGCATCATATACTTGAGCAGTTTTATATTGGACAGTGCAGTGTAAGGAAACTCACTGTTCCTCACAAGAGAATTCTAATCGCCCTTAGTTCACTCAACTACTGACTGGGATAACCTAGTACTTGAGTGAGGGGTCAGGGGAAAAGAATCCCCTTTACCCAGTGGTCGATACTGTCTTTTATAAGGGTATACACGTGTTGAGAGGGAGAACTAAGGGGGGCACGCATAGACAAGGGGTGAGGTGACGATTGACCACTCAGTGTCTCTCGTCCTTATATTGTATGTATTCTAACTGAGACATTATGAAGTCATCGTCTCGTGGTTCGTCTGTTGATGAACTAATCATCTCATAATACTCCCCTTCAAACTCTTACTAGTCCGAGTAAACTGGTAAGATGTTTGACTTGTAGTACATGTAGTGCTTTAGTTAATATATCTGCTTGTTGATCGTTCGTCTGTATGTATTTTGCATTTATGTACTCTAACTCAATATAGCATTTAATAAAATCTTTCTTATGATCTAAATGCTTCGTTCGTTCCGAATATTTGAGTTCGTCCGATGTAACCGTTCGTATAACAGCATTGTTATTACAAAAGATATTAATTGGTGCATCAGAGACCTGCAGAATCTCTTCAGCTAAATGTGTAAGTACGATTGCTTCCTGTGTTCCTCTTGCAAGAGCTATTAATTCAGCTTCATACGTCGAATTTGCCACCAGTGTTTGTCTTTTACTTGACCACGAAACTAATGAATTACTCAAGTAAAATGCATATCCTGATATTGCACAATGCCCTTCTTACATCATACTGTCTGTGTCTGTATAGCTGTTCAATATTGATTGATTTGTGCCACCGAGTTGGAGCCAGACATTGTTTGTAGTTTTTAAGTACATGTAACAATGTTTAAGTGCCAGATAATGCTCCATACTAGGGTCATTGAGGTATTTTACTAACTGATTTGTTGCAAATGCTATATCTGGCCGTGTACAGTCTGCAATGTATCTAAGTACACTAACCATGTTCATGTATAGTATATCAGACATTTGTTTTCTATTGTTATTAGTTTGCAATACTGTTTTTAATTGTGTACTAGGCTGTATGAGTGTTTGTACACTTTGTTTGTTTGTAAGTTTGTAACGTTCTATTATACTATTAATATAATGTGTCTGACACATCCTGATGAATCTATACTCTCTGTCGTGTTGAATCTCTATACTAAGTAGCCAGTGTAATTTGCTACTGTCTGTATATTGTAAATGACATACAATAGATTGTTTTATCATTACAATAGTATTATTATTCTTTGCCACAATAGTAATATTGTTGACATGTACAAATAATATGGCTACAGTTATTTCTTTCTTCTTTACAAAGAATACAGTGTTATCATGTTTGGATTTCGTTAATCTGCATTTAAGTAGTATATTAGATAGTGTTTTATACCATCTTCTACCAGCTTGTTTTAATCTGTATAGTACTTTTCATAATTGTAATATTTGTCCATTCTGTAATCTGTCTATTAAGTTACCTGGAGGAGGTTTAACATATATTTCCTTGTCTTCCATCAATTGTCCATAGAGATATGCCAATTTTATATCTATCTGATGTATTTCATAATTATTAGATGCTGCCCATGCTAATATCAATTGCACTGTAGATAGTCTAACAGTAGGAGCAAATAAATTGTCTGTATGATAGTCAAGACTGTCAATCTGATAGTTTCCTTGAACTACTAATTGTGCTTTATATTTTTCTATACTATTATTGGTGTATCACTTTATTTTATAGACAAATTGTGTTCCAATAATGTTAATATTATTGTGTGGATTCATGATTTCCCATGTATTATGATTTTCTAATTGTTTTATTTTGTCTTTCATAACTGTAATCCATGAATCACAATCTGGACATTGGATTGCTTCATAAAATGAAGTCAGATCCAATTGTATTTCACTTATTTTAGCATTAAATTCTGTTAAATGAATGACAATATTATCTTCATCCTTTTTGCTAAGTACATACATGTGTTTTGTTATGTGTTTATTCTCCATACATTGTTCAAGCTCAATAGTACATTCTGTCAGTTTCTGTTTCTGTTCTGATCAACATAATTTAGGTTCTACTTCTTTTTTGGTTAATTTAACTTTGTTGTCTGTTAAGTCTGTTGGTTCTGCCACTTTTCCTTTTTTGTTAGGATCAGCATTGTCTGTATCATTGTCATCCATTCTTGTTATTCTATTGTCCATTTCATTATTTTTAATTATTAAACACTCGTTTGTATTGTTGTTTGTATTGTCTATTTTCTCCCCTTCAATTTGAGGAGGTTTACCTTCGAGAAATTGAATATTTTGTTCAATAGTAATTTTATTATTGTACCAAGTTTTATGACCTTTACTTTCATTGTCTAATCCTATCCAACAAGTGATGATACCTTACTGTTGTATTTTTGTAGGATTTTCATTGCAAATGATAATATATTAACCAAATTTGTATATATTATCAATTGTTCTGTGTGTTCTGTAACGTTTGTAATGTAGGGTATTATAATTTAAAGCAGTACACAGTGTTCTATTATGAATATAGGTAATATGAATTGCTACTTCAGCCTATAATGTAAACAGTAATTCAGTAGATGTTAGATATGCTCTTACACCTCTAAATATAGTTTTATGTGTTCGTTCCACTATTCTGTTCTGCTGTAGAGTATGATGTACTGTTAATCTTTGTTTTGTTCCTTGTGAATCTAAATATTGTTGGAAATCTTCACTAAGGAATACAGTATCATTATCACTTTGTAAAAGTTTTATTTTAACTCTGTACTGTGTAAATATTTTAGTTGTCC